GGCATATTTTTTCACGTATAATCACAATCTAACCATTTGGAGTTCTCAACCACAGCCGACCTCATAGTGCGCAGGAGACAAGGGCTGTGGCTGAGAACCACGATTACTCAACAGTGATTGTAGTGAGAAATATACTCTAAATTTCAAATGGATTACCTTTCCATGCTGAAGCACGGGAAGGATCTGGGACGCTGAGTCACACCTTGGAAATGCTAACAATCCCAGACGAGCAGCTTAATCAGGAATAGAGATATTATGTATTTCCGCTTGGCATTCTTTATATGTGCAGTGGAGGCCCTCAAATAAAACAAGACATTTTGACTCACTTTCGCATCCGCATAAATCGGTCGTTATCTCGTCGCGAAAGAAGTTCTTTCGACAAAATGCTCCCCAAATGCCCCTCTATTAGCAGATGCAAGCCCTCCTTCACTGCCCTCACCGTCTTCAGAATATGACGTCATCTGCCATCGTGGTCGAGCTCACGGGGACCTACAGTAAATGCTCCAGCCCGAAGCTCTTACTTAATTTTTTCAATCGATTCATCGTTGATAGTTAAACATTAGCTATGAATTGCTAACCCCTCGGAACCCGCTTTCAGAAAACGTCTTAAATAGTATGGGGTCCGTCCACGACCCCATTGAGCACGACCAGTACACCATGTTTTCAGTGCTAATTTTTCCGATTTCGTCCACCTTGAAGGGCAATATGAAGTTTATTTTATGAAATGGAATGTGCTCTTTCATTTTAACACGAGACCATTCGGTTCGAATTTAGCAGAGTGTGATTAAATCGGTTGAATGTGGAGACAGAATGTTTTTTTACTGCCTCCTGTATACCAGACTGGTCCCCCGTCAATCGCCGAGACCTTCCATCGCTGCGTAATTTTAGGCCTTCCGCTGTGGTCCCTTCCACTTATGACACCCACCTCGTGAAGGTGACGCGTATGCAACAAAAAAGGAGTTTCATATAGTAGAGGGCATCGCCATAATCATGACATGACGGTAGAATAACTATCTATCCTAAGTGCACCTTGGGCCTTTCGGTGACTGGTTTTCCGTCTCCTCTTCCCATCCTCCCCTCCTATCTACACTGTCCTCTAGGTACCACTGCAGCACCATGTGAAATGGCCGGAAATGTGCTCAGTAGGTGTTTGTATAGCCGTGGGGGTGTTATCACAATTATACCATTACAAAATATTGATAGCTCAAGCCCTAACCGATCCTGTTAGCGCGGTTGCTTATTCCAATAGCTGTCTTATCACTCACTTTATTTTGCGGACGGACAGACAGACAGACGTACATACAAGCCGACAATCAAGTTAGCGAGCGGTTTATAAATAGAAGGATGTGCCATGTTTTGCGTTCTTATAGGTGTGTAATAGTCAACGATGACAGTATATTGGACACTGGTAGTATTTGTAATAGTCAATGAGAACTTGCAGTATATTGGACACTGGTAGTATTTATAATAGTAATGAGACTTGTCTGATGATGGTCGAATGATACTCAGCAAAAATTCATTAAATCACACAGGTCAAGTTGAACTTTGTTGGTGGAGGTATTTCATTTCTGCCACAGCCACTGGATACAGTAGAGCACGAGTTACTACATTTCCGGCGTTCTCGAATACCAATAATCTTCAACAATGCTAAAGTGCCAAATGCTCCTCTAATTATTCGTATAGCAGACTCGCGAAATGGACGAATAACTATCAAATACATAATGCTTGTAGAAACCGCGAATAACGAAACTGGAATGAATAAAATAGTCACCAGAGAAGGTCTGAAATAGATTGACGTCTCGCTGCAGTGGTTTCTGATCTGTCTAGATAGTAGTTTTCATTTCCTTTGTCACTGCATGCATATTTCCGAATCACGTTTTTGAGCTACACTGTTGACGTCGAGATAGTGAGCTGAGGGCCTGACGTGTCTTTCGGTTGAGTGAAGAGCGAATCTTTTGAAGTGATTCTCCATTTAGAAACACAATTCGCTCTGAGCTCAAAGCTTTGAGCTCAAACTATCAACGCTTCTCTCTCAATGTTTCGTGTATTTGAAAAAAACGCCCCAGTTAAGGATATCTTAGTACAAATATCTGCACTACTCAGGTTTTCTTTCTGATTTTTCATTAGCGTTTATCACATATCCTCAGAATTGCTGGATAGTTTTCTATTGCAAGTTAAAGGCAAACCCCGGGATAGCCCGACTAGTGGGAAGTATACCGCGAGGGAAATTGTGGGGCCCGTACCTTCATAGGTCGTTCCAGCTCCGTTGCCCGAATTGCGCGATTAGAGCGCTAATTTTCATGAATTTTTTTTAGTTGTTTGATTGAAAATTAATTACGAACCCGCAACCATCGACCTCCGCTGCAACGCTTCCCACCCTTCCTCGATATAGAGATCAGCGCCCTCTCTCGCGTGGTTTGTCTTCTTTGATTGCCCTGTCTCGCCATCGTACCACATTGATTCGCACCTACTGTAGTTAAGCCTTAATTTTAGCGTTCCGATGATTTCTGTGCTCTCCTTTCCACTTCCAGTTCCTTCCGCAACCCAGTCATCGCTACGAAACGCCCACACAAAAGCATCCCGGCGTTTACCTTTAAGCACGAACATTTGGACGTTAATGTGTAAAACGCTGTTACGTTACTGCTGTTACATTTTTGTCTTTGAGAGTGCTCAACGGTGCGACCCAACCTAATTCAAGTGTCAACCGATGTTCATGATGGCACTCAAGCCCCGCCCCCAAAGGATAATAAGAGCGCGGAAGGCGGCGTCGGGATCGGCTTCGGTGGGATTCTGCGCTCGCGAGGCGGGAGGCTCTACAAGCCCGTTCGCTGGCAGCGACTACCCACCAACCACACATCAGATTGTTCGGTCGGGAAACCCTGGCCGTACGGCCCAGAGGGTTGAAGTCCTTTGTCCCGTGCTCTGGAGAGGAAACCGGGCAAAATAGGACGGCTGGCGGACTCGCTTGGAACGTAGACCCTTCAAGATTCAAGAAATTCAAAGCCTCACGCGGCAAAACTTAAATTTCAAGCTCCAAATTCAAATCCCATCTTTAAACCCATGATATGTAATGTTATTGTGATTTTGGCTCACTGGTACGATTATAGAGTTCATAATAAACAAGATTCGCAGAGATAGTGTTTTCAAGAGAACCACCAAACCTTACATTTGGGAGTGATGCTCCAAAACATCAAGTTCATAAAGGTCAAAGGAGAAAAGGAATGAATCAAGCTACAGTACGCAGCCAATGTTGAAACTTTCAGATCGCAGATAAGCACCGGGGTGCCGGGAGAAGGGTCTTCCCGGACGTTTACTGTCTCTGGTTTCTGCCGTGCTCTGAACGTTAAATCGTAGTAATTCCGAGAAACGTGAGTTAACGGCGGGAAGTAACCATGACTGGAGTTCGAGTGGTCATTCAGTGCAGTCTCGCTGGTCCCGCCAGCCGGGTCAGCCGCTAGGCCACGTGCTTCCCTTCACCTTATTCCATGCAAACTGTATTCCGTTCGACAACAAATATGAATCTTTCCTATCGTGTACTGTATCTGCGAAGAACTATAGATAATTATAACTATTCGTTCCTATGCACAAATCTATCATGGAGCGATCAGGGATCTATTGCACGAAAGCTTATGCAGTGTAGATAATGCAAGTAAGGCAGTTTCCCGTTCAGTTTTATACTAATCGCCTTTTTCAACAACACCCTAGTGGCTCCAATCACTCCCAGTTCCTCTCTTACAGAAGGGTGGCGAAAAATCATGCGCTCCATATAAAGCATACAAACTGACTCTCTGCAATTGTTTGCTTCAACATTTCGAAACTTTTTTTCAACTGCAAAGACGTTTTTAAGTGGCCGCCGTCATTTTCGATGCAGGCCTTAGCCTATTTTTTCATTTTTTTTCAGTCGATGGTGCTGTGGAGAAGCTCATCGCCTGATTCATTCCAAATTTCGGACATCCCTCATAACGGTTATCAAACTTCTTGCATTTCGATTATTTTCAGCGGAAATAAAGGTTTAACGCGTGCAGTGTAGACCTGGATCCTGCGTCAATTGCCTGAAATTGTACTGGTTGAGGGATATGCTACAACTGTGGGCACGACGAACAAAACCAATTTTTGAGCTCATCTCTCGACCATTCATTTCAATTTGTCCGAAGAGCACAGGCTTTTATAAAAGCGCCTTGTGAGCCTTCTTCTCAGCATGCGCTACCACGTGTGTAAGGATTTCGGGTCCTCAAAAGTGCTACTCATTTTGTTCGTCGTGCCGAATCTACCGTCAAAATTTTTCTTCGAATCAGGAGTATTTATGACCTGGAGTCTGAAACTCAATCTTTCTTCCGCGATTAAGCAAGTTTTCGCTTATATTTCTAGTTGCCTAACGTCATTGTTAAAACGCGGTCCCTGCCAAGTGTAATTCTTGAGCCGTAATTCTGAAAACGCACAAAATTAAAGATTTTAACTTTTGTATTTATGGATGAAAACCGCATAGCTTGCAGAAAATGGGATCGGCATGGGAACCGCTAACTAGGCACCACTATCCATTCGCCTACCTGTTTGTGGCTCTTTTAGTAGTCGTGCCAAAAGGTATCCAATAAACCTTTGCCCAGAAAACAATTTTGCAGATTTGAAGCATAGATTCGAGCCTGAGAAAGCATCACATGACCCATATCTCATCCAAAATGGCCAGTCAGACCCATTATCATGGTTGTTCACAACGGCCTGCTTGAACAGGATCCACCAAATGAGACCTAAGACAATTTTTCAAGAAACTCAAGGATTTTCTTCACTTTCAGTGTGCGAGACCGCCACAGTCTCTGAGGTTGGCCCCACTGTGGCAAGAGGATCTTCTAGCGCCCAAATCATAGAGATGGGAAAAGAATGAGTTCTGGTAACAAAGGTGACTCAGTTAGGGGTTGCTTTGCAGTAGGAAGAAAGAGACATAAGAAAATTAACATTTTTAAAAGCCCAAAGAAAAATAGCACTGTCATAATTAACCAACTTACATTGCAGTCATCCACGATAAGCTGAAAACTACTGTGATGACGAACCAGCATAATGGGAAGGCCCACTTGAAGAAATAGTATTACACAGTACATGACAAGTGCAATAACCACGTTGATGTGAAGGCGATATGTTTTTGCGGAAAATTCGTGTTTCCTCGTCCGAATGCGTAGAATTACCCTGCAACTGTGCTGCCTCATTGAAAAAAGGAGCAGAAATTATACGGAATTTTTTTGCGGTGCGGGCTCTCGCTTTTTATTCTTTCCTAGTAATAATTAAGGTGTCTCACGAGTGTGTTGAGCATTTTCCCTTGATTTCGCTAATTACCGCGCCCAGTCAACAGCTTTATATTATACCAGTTTAGCTGCGCACGCATTCGCGTGCATCACACGGGACTGCATTGGTATGAAACAGGGCCATTGATATTTTTATAGTCACCGTGGGAAACTCCGCAAATCCTCGGTGGCGCCCACCAATAGCATTTGGCCCCATTCCTTCGCCAACCTTTATCCACTTTTCCCAGCCTCTGGGCTCTCTTTGAACCTACCTGTAATATCACGTGACAAACTCCGCCTACTTCAACGCACGCTCCACCCACCAATAGCAGTTGACCTCCCTTCCGTTGACGGACTCAATCCACTTTTTTCCCGGTCTCCAGGACTTCTTGGAACCGAGTTAGAAAGTTTCGTGGATAACTCCGCCCACTTTGGACATGCCCCGCCCACTGACAGCC